TACCATATCAAGCAACTGTTTTTATCATTATTGATAACTAGTTATTATGCATTGCTAACCATATTACCACATTAAAAGTATATCAATATTTACATAATTTTACCGATAACGTTTTTTAAAATCAGATTTTTCTTGTTTAATCACAATTTCCTAACAGTTGAATAAACTATTATTAGAGCTAAAACACTAGTAGCCTTTACAACATAAATTTGAAGTTTCAATTCCTTTTTTACAATTTCAATTTACTTTTATAATATTAAAATTTCAAATAAAATATCTTACATTTAGTGGGAAATGTACAGCAATGTTACAAATTATGTACTATTTAAATCTATTTCTCAAGTATTTTTATTGTTCGTTATGAAGTTATATTCAATTCCCATTGTCCCTTTCTTCCCTAAGAGCTCAACAAAGTTCATAAATCTAGAGTTTAAAACTCAGACGAAAAAAAATGACACTTTTCATATATATATATATTAACAGATATATTTTGAGCATATCTTACATACAAATCAAGGCGACTATTAATGCCTGAGAAGTTCACTAAAGTGCATAATGAATGAAAGCTATACAAATCAATTTAAAAGCAGTGGTTCTTGAAAAATAAAATGTTAGTTGGATGTTTATAAAATAATAGCTATTTGAAAACTCATCCGTTTTTGAATTACACTGACTAAATTTAAAAAAATTGGGAAAATTTTTAAAAATTTTTTCTGATATTTGAAAGTAAAAAATTACCAAATCGAAAATTGGCTAAACTGTGCCAGGTTATTTAAATGAAATTTTTAGCATCTTCATAAGTTTCTAGAGCAAATCAAAAGAGGAAAAAATTGCATTCTCTAGTGGCTTAATCAGAAAATAGAGAGCAAAATATTACCAAAAACACGTAAAATTATTAATTTATTCTGATGTCTATAAGACAGTAACTATTTAACGTAATAATTAATTAACGAATTAGAATGATAATTTATGTTTCAGAGAATTAAGAAAAAATTTTACTAATATTAAAAATATTTTAAATTTGCCCTAACTAGATTTTTAAAAGTTGTTTTTAGAATTCTGGCATGCTCCCATATAAAACAATAGAAAAAGCAATTGCCTTCTCGATTGTTTCGTTTAAAAACTTATTAGAGTGCCAAAAATAGTAATCTTAAAAATCTAAAAGTTAACTCGATTTGAAAAGTATTGAAAAAAAAAGTTCCCGCTTCAAAAAAAGGTTAGAAAAAACAAATTTATAAAATTTTCTATTATTATTTCACTAATTATTATTTCACAAATTTATATAATTATTTCACTAAAAAACCCTCCATTAATTAAAAAAATCATAATTAATAATTAATAACGAAGATCACATTCAATATGTGTATATGTTACTGTACACATTACCATATAATAAAATATTTAAAAATTATTTCTAGAAGGATCACTATAAAAATTTCAAAAATATTTTAAATTTAAAAATATAGAGCTTTTTAAAATGCATTTTTATTTTTTTAAGGAAGCATAAAACTAGTATTAAAAACAATTTACTTTGAACTCCATACAAATTATTCAAAAGTAATATTGATAATTAATTTTACTTACAACTTTTTTTCGGAAAATCAGTTTCAGCTCTGTGCAGTTCTGTTTAAATGTGAAATTACTAATTGCATTCATACTAATTTCATGGCACAATTCGACTATGACAAAATTAACAAATTTCATTAGTCAATTGCTGAAAGTCTTTGTTATGTTTCATAATAGAACCACTGAATCAAGCAATATAATGCACAGAAAGAAAAACTTTAGTGAACAGTATTATTCTCTCTTGTTGAAATGGTTTAAACGGAGGAAATTGTCATACAGTTAGCATTTGGCACGGCAAAGAAACTGTGCTCATTAGCTATCGAGAGGTAATGGGAAGTTAGCCATTGATCTGATCATGATTTATAAAACATATGAGAATGATTATGGATTACTGATGAAAAGACAAGATTCTTTTTTCACGTGTAAGAAGCAAATTTTTACAATTGCAATTTTTTTTAAACACCAGAAGTTAATAAATTCATTAAAGGAATTAAAATTTATAGAGTCACATTATAATATATATTTCCATAGCATATTTTTAACCCTTTGACGCAGAATTTTCACTAAGCATATTAATTTAGGTCATAATAAGTAAAATATTTAGCATTTTAATAATTTTTGGTTAGGAAATACAGCATCAGACGTCAGTGTTCCTTAAAATTTGTTTGGATTGGAAATTTATGCTAATTTTGTACTTTAAGTTTTATTAAATGAACCCTTAAACTCCATAAAATTGTAAGCTATTATATTAAACAAAATTCTTAAATATTAGAAATTACAGTATAACAAATTAAAATATTAATTTCAACCTAGTAAAAAAAAAAAAAAAAACAAAANAAAAAAAAAAAAAACTTTTTCATAAGATTTTCTTAAAATTACAACATTGATATTTGATTATAAAATTTTTTAAATGAAAATTATATCTTAGATTTAATTTTTTAGTTTTAAATAAGAGTGTTGGAAAAGTTTATACAGAATTAAAGTTTCACAAACTATAAATAACAAATTTATAAATCACAAATTTAATTTATAAATTATAATAAATAATACTCAAAGCATTTAAAAGTATAAACAACTTTTATCGTCATTGCATCACTTGAAAAGTCAATTAAAATTTTTATCTGTTTGATTTGAATTAAAATTTCACAACTACAATTTTGGATAAAACACTTCATAAAATATGAAAAATTGATTTTTTCATTCAAATTTTCTATAATTCCTCCAGAAATTTTTTTACACTTCTTATAAAACATTTTCCTTTGTAAAAAAGGTAATGAAAAAATCTTGCCTTTTCATACATTCTACAGATGCAAATATATGACAAACATCAATTATATATATATGTGTATGTATAGATATAGATTTATGGAATAAAATTTGTGAAAAAAAAACACATAAAATAGAGATTTATCTTCATATGTGTCATTTTAATTTAAATATTCTTAAAAAACGATCTGTACAAAATATTCAAACGAATTGGGATGCAAATTCGTTGCCCTATGCCTTTTCCAACAGCATATACATTCAGGTACAACTTCATCCCCCTCTCTCATCAATTGGCTCAACAGACATAAGATATTATTCTCGCCAAATACACCAAATATTTGGCACCAAATAATTTTGGCGCCAAATATTTCCGATGTCAAAAACTTCTTTCAGTTAAAGAAATATGTAATCATTTTCATAGCATACAGCGACATTATTAAGTATACCTCAGTCACCGGTGATCCAAGTTCGGTACAATGAATGTGTCATACAACTCTGTTTAGTTATTCTCTCTTTAGTTGAGCTTTTTTATTGCATTTAAAGCTCTAAGTTTCGGCTTGAAGTAATAAAATAAAACAATATTTATTAATCAGAGATGGGCAATTAAGTATGTTTAAAACACTAATAAAAAGTTTGCTAATAAAAGTTATTACGTCGAAATGTTGAAAAACATTTAAATAAATAAAGTCAAACAAATGAAAAAGTAAAATAAAATACATTGCGCTAAATGATTTTTAAAAATAATTTTGTAATAATTTTTTACAAAGGATAATATTTTATCCTTTGTAAAAAATAAGTAAGAATAAATTTAATTTCGTCAAATATTTTTTTAATTAACAAAAATGATTTTTTTACTGATATTTACTATTGTAATATAAAAACTCCAAAAGTATTCCTTAAATTATTTTCTGAAATATATTTTTATAAATATCTTCTTTTGTACATTCAGGTGAAGGCTGGCAGTTTTTATAGTTTCTGTATTTATATTAAACTTGGTACATAGACTAGGATAAATAGAACTTTAGATAAAAAATAAATGTTTATAGTTTTTAAAGAAAAATAATGAAAATTAGAATAAACTACAATAAATTGAATTAATTTTATTAGTTATAAAAATTCTGAATATAGATTTTAAGAATCTAAACCATCAATCAGTAATAATAAAAAAAAACTAATTATTATTTAAAACAGTTATCTTCTTTCATTCTTTAAAACGCATATACTTTAAGAATTGATTTTTAGCAATATATTGAATTTATCATCTTCTTTACTATAACCTGTTTTTCATAGTTATCTTAAAATGCAATGTTCGTTGCAATCAATGTCATATTCACTATTTAAAATGAATTCTTTTAAACTTATTGATATCTTTTTATTAACCTAATTCAATCTCATAAGTTAAAGTAATTTATATTTACGAAATAAAGTACTAATAGTATTAATATAATAATCGAATTTAATCTATTAAAGTAAAATTGAATTTTAATATGAGTAATTACATCGATTTTGTTTAATTTAATTAAACAACATGCTTTATGGTCAAATTACAATTTTTTGGAGATATTTTTACATTTATTTATTTAACAGTAAAAAATAAATATCCGTCGCTGAATAAAGCAGACACTCAAAATTGTTTTTAAATAAAAATTATTCTTTTTGTCTACAGTCCAAAACGGGAAAGTCCACAAGCACCCAAAAGTATTCCTAAAATCAGAATAAAAATAATTCGCGTCAGAAAATTTTTTAGAACAATGGAAATGTAAAATGGCTAAAACAATTTGGAAAGCAACATGTATTAATATAATTTAATTTCCTTTCTTTACATCTGAATTTTTTATTTATTTATTTTTTAATTTCAAATTAAAAACTGAGATAAGAAAGAAGTAAAATAACTAAATTTTTTTCAATATTAGATTTTGTTTTAAAATATAAGAAAAAATCTATAATTTAATTTTCTGATATTAATTTTACAGTTTTATGTGATATATTTATAATAAAACTTTTAAAAAATATATATAATTCATTACTATTAATTTAGATTAAAAAAATCATTGTTGAAAAAAGTAAACATTTCCACACTATTTTTTGAAATTTTTTTTGGGTGTTTGCAGCTGTTCCCACATTTAATAAATATGAAAGAACATTTCACTTAGTCAACTTTTTATCTATATAAAAGGTCTTATAAAACATTTTTTTACATAATATTACCCACCTCTATGACTGATTTCAAAATATTGGTATTTGAGAGTATGAGTTATACGCTTTTTATTTTTTACAAATATAATTTCTGTGATTAAAAATATTTAGTTTATGAATGTGTATTTTCTAGTGAGCTTTATTAACCTCCATATTTTTTTTTACAGTAAAAAATAGACTTTATGTTAAATATATAAGATGAAACATATACTTATATATGGTTTATCTCTCTATTTAAAGTTCAAATGAGCTAGTAACAAATAAATGGCAGTTGAAATAAAGTTCCATATATATTACGTGACATTTAACTTTACTGGTCGTGTAAAACATTGACTAGGCAGTGAATTGGTATAAATTTTTCAATCTCGTATTAACTCAGACTCTATCAAATTTGTGATTCATATTTTATAGGAATCAAACAAACGTGCTGCCATCTGGTGCACATAAAACATAACAGCTGCAAGCCTAATAAAATTTCTTTTTACATGCTTTTATATAATATATATATAATATATCTATATATACTAAATTTCAAACAGACTAAAATGGTCGTATTTACATATAAATATAAAAAGTCTATTCATTGCGATTGGCTAAAAAAAATTGCATGAGCAATCAAGTATAACATAAATTAAATTCAACACAGTCAGAAATGCATGGCAATATGCATCAAAAGCTTCTTTACACACAAAAGTGACCATAGCATGCTGGATAGCTCTTCCTTGTCTTTTGAGTATTGTGTCCATTTTGAAATGTTGCTCGTTTTATATATCACATTGGACGAGACCAAAAAATTGAGACTCGTAATCGGAGAAACATTTCACTTGTGTCTCAATAAATAGCTCAGTTTTGCTTCTGGGGCATATTGTTCTACGCCGATCTTTCTTTTTTTAATTAAATCATTGAGCCGCAAATCCAATTGAGATCGAGATTAATACTTAATGGAGGCACGGATAATCATCTGACCAAAAAGATTCGTGTTAATAATGTTTAGAGTAAATAAAAATATTACATTGACAAAGTAATTTGTATATATAATATATATATATGTATGTATAAATAATATAATATGAAGTAAAAACAGAGATACTGATTCTATGACCAATGCAATTAATTGCACTTAAAGCATAGTTTTTCGTTATATATACCTGATGGGAGTGATGTTACATTGTCTCATAACTTTGAAAAATGATTTTTTTCTTAACAAAAAAAACGTGTACAAACATTTGAACAATGAGTTATTATAAATTAATGTGACTTTAAGTCTTTTTCCAAAATCTGGAAAAATGACTTATCTTAAATAACATTTAAAAAAATTCCCGAAACCTTGACCCCAAAATGGAGGATGAAAAATTCCAACAAAATAGTGAAGAGAGAAAAAAAAGGAGCCTACATTAAGGCTTGTGAAGTAAGTATCAGTTGTTTTCAGGATTTGTCGTTGTGTATCAGTCCCAGATCTTTAGGTCTTATTCATGGCTCATGTGATGTTTAGGTAACAGCGTAGAACTTTTAAGATCTTCTGGAACAAATTAAGAATGGAGATCCCCTTTTAATTTTAAGACAGATGGGAATCGGTGGTGAATCATGTCTGGATCAGTCAGTCCACAAAACGTGTGCAAGCTTTTTTCCATTTGCACTGCGTGCACCACATGTCCCTGTTTTCCATGCCATACACTTTGCGGCATTTGCGACTCTCAGAGCGTGTCCTGCGATGGATTGGGGACGAGGCTTTACTGGGCGATGGAGCCGACTTCAAGCTGAGGCGCATGCATTTTTGTGGAGAACCCTGGAAAAAAATTGAATTTAATATAAAATAAATAAATGTGCACAAATTAGGGAATAAATGAAAAGAATAATTAAAATTCTAAGTATGCATGATAGTCCGTGATCCCAGCTTTTAAAGTCCCGCAGTAGACTGATTGTTAAGATACGGTTCCCAGCAGATCACCGAAGTCAAGCATCACTGGCTGCGGTCAGTGTGCAGGTGGGTGGCCTCTTGGATCAGTCTGCGTAGGGACTGAGGGTGTGCGGTATTGGACCTCGTTAAACTGGACTTCGCGTGCAGGTCGTCGGGCTACCGAAGCGGGGGTGCCATCCCCTCAGCAGAGGATCAAAATTGTGATGGCATGTCTTCGGATCATCCTCAGGGATGTTTCCCTGACCGTCGCCATTAGCCCATTGTGCAGGTCTAGTGCGATGTAAATAAACTACAATAACCAACAACAACACATCTCTTAATTTATATTTTTATAATGACTGTAAGAAATTAAATCTAAAAGGTAGACATGTATTGCACATTAAGTGAGGTAAAAACAAAATTGCAATAAAAATCTGTCGAATCACAACTGAGGAAAGCGGGACAGAAAATATCAAAATCTTATTGATTGCTTGATGAAATTTAAGGGTATTTCTAATAATTACTTTTCAACTTCTCTTTGTTTTATATAGAAGTCAAACAGGTTTTAATGATTGCAGTCCTGCCGCTCATGTTTGTGATCATATAGATTTTTAAAACCGATTTTGCTTCTTCCTCGCCAGATTAAGTTTCATGTATGTTATATGTAAGATATATATTCCATATTAAGTTGTGACCCAAATGTGTGTTCTCCTTTGACAAAGATTCTACAAATATATATTAAGGGATGGGTTTATGGAGCACCATTCAAGGTGCGCAAATATTATCTGACCTACTTCGACTTGCAATAACAAATAACTGAAATAAAATGGCCAAGAAATGTAGCTCGCATGTCATATATACACTCCTCAAAAGTGAAATTGCAACACCAAGAAATAATGCACGTAGCGTCATGCAAATTTCAGGAGCGATAGAAGTGAGATGGATATGCAAATGATTAAATTTGCGCACGCATCTGATCACGTGGTACGCATATTCGGGCTATAAAGGCCAGCAACTTTCCCTTCTCATAAACGGCATCTGAGGTTTTGCGTAGCATTTGCGACTTTCGAAAAAGCGTAGAAAATGCCTCTGAGACGTCGGCGAGCTCAATACCATCAGTTAACGACCGGGGAACGCGACCGTATTATCACACTCCATGAACTTGGTTTGTCGCTGCGTGCAATGGCAACTCGTGTTGGGCACAACGTGAGTACCATCCAACGTTGTGTCACACGATGGATTCAGGAAGGTCTACGTGCTAGCCGAAGAGGAAGTGGTGCGCACAAGTGCACGTCAGAGCGCACAGCCCGGCGTATTCGCCAGTTGACTATTCAAGACCTTTTCTCCACGGCACGTGCCATCCGAAGCCGGTTGCCTTCAGGAGCAGGTGGATCTGTGTCCACCCAAACCATATGCAACAGATTGAATGAAGTACAGTTACGTGCACGGGTACCAGCAACAGGGGTACCGTTGACCGCTTTACACAGGGCTAGGCGCCTGGTGTCATGTCATCGTCATCGTACCTGGACCATCCAATGGCATCGGATATTGTTCATGGATGAATCTCGTTTCTGTCTGTGGAGAAATGACGGTCGTCGACGGGTATGGCGGCGACCCGGAGAACGCTACGAACCAGCCCATTACGCCGAGCGTCACAACGGTCCTACACCGGGCATCATGGTTTGGGGTGGCATAATGTTTGATCGCAGAACGCCCCTGGTACACATTCACCACAGTTTGACAGCGGACCGCTACGTCACACAAGTTGTGTATCCCGTTGTTCTGACCTTGTTGCAGGGCGCACCCAACACGGTATTCCAGCAAGACAATGCCAGGCCGCATGTCGCACGGCGAACTATTAACAGCCTGACTGGATTTGACATCCTTCCCTGGCCGGCAGCCTCTCCAGATCTGAATCCCATAGAACACCTATGGGATCTCATTGGACGTGGCATGAACAGAGGACCAATGGCCCAAACCATCGATGATCCGCGCACAGCAGTGGATGTGGCTTGGCAAAGGTTACCTCAGGCAACCATCAATGGAGTCATTGATAGCATGCCTCGCCGGATTGAGGCCTGTATAGCTGCCCGAGGTGGCCACATTAGATATTGAATAAATTGCTTTATAACGATTTTACTAGTCTGTTTTTTTAATCATTTGCATATCCATCTCACTACTATCGTTCCTGAAATTTGCATGACGCTACGTGCATTATTTCTTGGCGTTGCAATTTCACTTTTGAGGAGTGTATGTTAACGTGAATGATTGAAATTGGTGGTTGTTGACCTCCACTGGTGAATGTTGACCGATAAAATAGTCGCTTCAGTAAATGTCTGAAATATATACTAAGTCTAGTCAAGTGCCACTGCCTGGTATGCATTTGCCCGGTATGCCCTACATCGATGTTTCTTTAAGATCAAGTGCCTCTGTCCGGTATGCATTTAACCGGTACTTTGAACACTGGTGTTTTTCCTAATCTATCCTCAGCAGATATTAAAATATCGAATAAACATCAACGAATAAATTACAGTAGGGAACCGATTATCCGGAACGATCGCTATTCCGGATAACTGATTTTTCCAGTTTTCTGAATCGCTACAAAAAGCCGTTTTTTTTATTGTTAAACCCAACTAAAAAAAAAAAAAATTTGGAAATAATCTTAAAAAGAAGAAAAAACGATGAAAACACACTAATGATTATTTGCAAAATGATGGAAAGGTAAACATCTTTCAAAAAAGAAAGAAAAATCCTAAAATTTTATGAGGAAAATAATTTTTTTTTTTTAAAATATGACGGGGAAATTTATCGAATTTCGTTCCGGTTTTTTGGTTTTCCGGTTTTCTGATTTCCGGATAACGGGTTCTGTACTACTATCAAATCGGATATAACAAATATTTCAGAATTCACCAAAGTGACAACGTGATTGTTGACATTCACCGGTGAAAGTCGACGTTCTCTTGATTTCGGTCATTAAAGGTAACATATATATAGTGTATACTCTAATAACCACCCTTGATATATACATATTTATTCAAAAGGATAGACCAGAAATAATTAATATTTAATAAAGTATAAATTGGACTTAAACAATCTGCGTGCTATTAAAAAAAATGATAGTTTTAATTGTTTTTTAACAGTGGTTTTTAATGTCTACTTTTTGCTGCCCGACAAAACATTCAAAAATTAGCCAAATTCGTCCGACACATGAAAATTATGTGTTTTTGAGTGCACCTCAGCAGTAGCATGGTTCCGCAGGTCGTTTAGAGTTATCGGCAAATGTCGACACATGACGTGAGGAAGTATAACTCACAGCCGAGGGGGAAACTGAATGTCTACCTGTTGGTGTACCCTAGCTCTCACGTGACGCAGTGAACAAAGGCGTCAGCATTGACAGCAGTTTGATCATGAGTTCGATTCTTGCAGCCATCTAAATTAGCTGTGCTTGTCAGCAATTAGGTCTACGAAAGTTCTCTCGATTTTTAGTTCAAACACAAAAATCAGAAATGTAAGAACAAAAAGGTAAAAATCAAGACAAATATGGGCATCATCAGGAGAACTACGAACTCAGCGTAATATATTGTCCCACTAAACCTTTTTCAATACTTTAAGCTGCATTAAATGATGGCGATTTTTAATAAATTTAAACTTAATTGTCAATAAAATTTTAATTAGAGAAAAAATTTGATAGACATACCATGGTGCTTGGAGCACTGGCAGCATATTCATGTAAGTTCCAAACTGCAGATTTCTGTAGTTGTGGTATGGATATTGGAGATGCTTGCGTGAAACTCGGGCTTATCACCTACACAAGGGAAATAATTTTTTAGAAATATATCTCACTCTATATAACAATATATATATATTTCACAATACAACAAATAGACACTTCACACAAGAAATTAGTTTTTAACTCAACGTTGTTCTACAAGAGTTGTTCTTAAAACATTGAAAAATTTAAAATTGGATTGTTAATTTTTCACTTGACTCCATCCAGATTATATACATTTTGGTAAGTTTTTAACTCATAGCAAATACATCGAAAAAATAAATTCGTCCTAATTAATTATTTAACACAACATGAATATTAATATAGCAGCATTAACAAACAGGATTCACTTAGTCCTCAATTAATGCTAGTTTGTCCCAATTCAGAAGTTCCGTTAATTTCTGGATTGGGTTCAAAATTACGAAGCTACGGAGTTCAACATTGATAGCTATAAAAGGTAGGCTGTTCAATGCTGGTTACAAAATTTTCTTGGTCTTTTCTGCTAAATTTAGTTTATTAAATTATCTGTCCCGCTCTGGGTTGAACTAAGAGAATGTGCGTTAAAGTCTTTTAAACCAGCAAAAGGCCAGGATTGCCTGGCTGGCAGAGAGCTGGACTCAGGTTTGTAAGAACGGAAGTTCGAATCCAGCCAACCAAAGTCTCCCCGTGTAGTAAATGGTGACCAGTGCATGTTAAATAAGTCGGGTCACAAAGTCCTCTATGTTCCCATAATAAATTATCCCTCTGGGGTTCTGAATAGGAGAATGATCATTATCTGGTTCAGGTAAAAATCACAATTTGTGGATCAATAAATGGGTGTATGAGTGAGTCCGCCTTATAAACGGGTGTGATGTATGGATGTGGCAGAAGTCGAACTCTTGGCCGTAGATGGCGCCACTGGAAAGCAAGAACCCCTTGCCTTAAGGCCTGTTTACACGGTCCAATTTCTTGAATCCGAGAAATTGGACGGATTTCTCTGTCCAAGAAATTGGATGATTCGTTGACACTATCCAAGTTCTTGAATGTCGCTGATTCGTTGAAAGAAAAACTTGCGCATGCGCATTGTTCATATTCAACATTATAAAATAATACTTACATAAGTTTAAAATTACTAAATAAATTCAAATAAAATCATAATAACACAAATAAACCGCAACAGATCAATTTATTTGGACTAAAATATATGAAAACAGACAAGAAGATGACATAATTTGCTGCCTGATTGTTGACGTCACAAAACCTAAGACGCTGATTGGTTAAGGGAGAAAAAACTTGGATGGAAAGTAGAACATGCTCTACTATCGTCCAAGAAGTTGGATCAAGTTCTTGGATGTTAGTTTACACGATCAAAGCTCAAAGCAAAACAAGTTTCCATGAATATCAATCAATCTCTGTCCAAGAAATTGGATCGTCTAAACAGGCCTTTAAATTGCCCACGACAGCAACAACAAACCACCAAAAAAAATATGTATAGATTAATTTCTTTACCGTCTTTCTTACTTGAGTATGTTTCCTGTACTCAGGGTCCTCGTGGGCTGGCCTTGCCATGTCCAGGTGACTGAGGGTGGGCACAGAAGAGGAGTAGATGGAAGATCCATTGAGGTATGGACTCGGAGTGCTCTCCACCTCCATTTCTGTGTAATAAAACTCTTCCTCGTGGTCGCTGCCTTCTTCAGAATCTAGCATCTCTCCACTTCGTCTAAAAAGGAACACATGCACAATCGTTAAGCAAAAAAGTTTTACGAAAGGATATGGAACGAAATGCAATATGGAATGGATCCCTTACTTCAAGTGCTGTGTCCTTACGTGCCTCTCTACTTGTTCGCATTCCGGGTACTGCTGGCCACATCCTGGCCAAGTACATTGAAAGACTAATCTTGTGCGATATGGACTCTAAAAAAGGAAGAGGAAAAAAAAGGATATGAAGCATTATGTTAACAAATGTTACACAATAAGCATAGGGCATAATGTTTGGTTTGAACATTTATTGATAGATGTCTGATGAATGGTGGAATTTTGCTATCTTCCTCGTCTGATTAACCTTTTTTTGAACTTAAAGAGGATGCTGTACAGCGGGAGAAAATTTTCCTAGCAAATTCTGTTTCATTTTGTTTGTTTCTGTTTGTTGATATTTTAAAGTTTAGAGATAAGTGAGTTCAGGTAAACGTAGAGTAAGCCATGCAATTTCAAATACTTAAAAAATGCTTTCAATGTATCAAAAGGCAAACAAAATACTGCAGGATAACTTCCCTAAAACGCGTGCGTAATCCTAAGTAATCCTGCGATATTTTCTTTGGATTTTGGTATTTCTAAAAAAACATTTTTTTAAGTAGAGTAAGCCATGAAGTTTTGAATACTTAAAAAATGCTTTCAATGTATCAAAAGGCAAACAAAATATTGCAGGATAACTTACCAAAAACGTGTGCGTAATCCTGCCATATTTTGTTTGGGTTTTGATATTTTGGAAAAAAAAAGCACTCGAAACTTCATGGTTTACTCGACATTTTTCTCGCTTTTCCATTGAATTTAAACTATTTATTTGCCAACGCTCCAGTGGTGGCTTTAAATCTACCATCGATGAGAACCAGCGTTTCAGAAAAGTAAAGGCGACCGATGCGCAATGTTAACAACAGTGCCGCCATCAGGCCGTCGGTCACGAAATTGCTTAGCTTCATTCTCACAGCTTCGTTGACCCACCAATGAGTGAGTGCTTTACTTTATTTTACTACAATCACTTCAGTAATTCCTGCATTACTTTAAATCAATCACTTTACAATTCCAGGATTATTTTATCGTAATCAAGTAATAATCGTATCGTATATCGTATCGTAATCTTTTACAATAGTTTTCATGGGTCATATTTGCCCCTGTTTACAATCTCGAGTTCAAGATACTTCCAACTGAAAGGCTTGGGATGTTGTAGTGATAAGCTTCATTTGTTTCGAAAAAGTGACCATTTTTAGATCAAATGCTTCCTCAGTTTTGTTTCCAGATAGGCACTTAACTAACTTCGGAAATTGCCACTAGATAGCAGCACAATACAAAAAAAAAACATTTCATTGTTTGAATAGAAATCGCAGTGTTAAAAAAAGCTCTCCTGAATAATATTAAAAATGTGGCTTATCATTAAAATGCCCAAAGCCTTTGTACTTGCTAACACACTTTTTTCTGTTTTAAAAAAAGAAAAACAAATGACTCATCCACCTTCTTTTTAAAATTATTTGATTGATTCTGACAACTGTATAATAATAAAATAAAACAGAAAACGATTTTCATTCGAATTCGAACATTAGTTTATTTATCTCTACATCAATCAACCTTCAAATGGAAGGGGGGGGGGAGGGGAACTAAAGAACATCTAATTGGATTTTAATCGCCCAAGTATGGCTCTATTATCATTTGAATTCCGGTAAACAAGAGGATCTGCTTTCCATCATCTGCGAGGTGAGTAAACAAACGTTTTTGGCAACCTAGCACATTTTCTAAGATCAATGAACCCGAAAAAAATATGATTTTTTTTTATTCCATCGACAACACAGAAAAAAATAACCTATATTTCTACCCGTAAAGCATACATAAATATCTTATAACTATTTTCCGTTTTGTTCTTTACATGTTGACAAAAGATGTTATAGCCGTGAGTCATGCATTTTTGGTTAAGTGACATAATAGGATTGGTTTTTAGATGTGATAAGTAGAAAAAAATCGAAGAAAGAAAAAAAAAGGAAATCATAGTAAAAGTAAATCGTACTCATGATAAATCGATTTAATAAACATAAATGAGATTGATTTGTTTTCCTGTACTTTTAAGTCATACATCTTGAGATTTTTTTTTTTAAATCCAGCAACAGTCGTATATATTGAACGAGATGTGCAAGTTCAATTTAAAATTTTGTTTTAGAATGAATGATTTTAATGTTATTTATCTCTATTATCCACGCGTAATACGCATTCTGTGAGAAAACACGCACCACATTTTTGATGGAACGCACCCGCCTCTCAATTATCTACTATAAGCATAAAGTGCGAACAGATCACGTCACTGTGACGTCGCATTCACCATCACGATCCTGTGAATAGAATATAAACAAACATGCATGAACAGATTGTCAAATGTATTTTTAATTGACTTTTTTTAAATAATGGAACGATTAAGATTAATTCAGAGCTGAAATCGATATTTAAAAAAATACCGATGATTTTTTTTTCACTATGATGTTAACAATAACTTTTTTTTTTTTTTTCTTTTTTTTTTGGAAAATTCATAGCAATTCGAAATTTTCTTAATAAGAAAGATGCAGTTTATAAGGCGCAAATTTGAGGTAAAATTAAATTACACTCGTCTATTACCGTTGGTTGATTTCCAAAAATTAAAACATTCTTCGGCGAAACATAATAAGCACTGATTATGAATAATTGAATAGCTTTGATTAATTTCGGAGCTGGAATCTAAGAAAAATACTGTTATGTTTTTTCTTTCTGATATGCGTTCTTTTTCCACAATACATTAAAGATTAATAGCTTTCGTTTAGCAAACTTAATGCATTTCTAAATCCGATTAACAAGATGCAATATTTTGGATGCAAATTTGAAGTAAAATTGCATCATACGCGTTCATTACCGTTAATTGATAACCAAAAATTAAAACATTCGCCGGTGAAAAATAATAAATATTGATTATGAGTAATTAAATAGCTTTGATTAATTTCAGAGAGAGAATCTACGGAAAATGATGTCATATTTTCTTTCTAATATATGTTTTTTTCCCCATTATACATTAACAATGAATAGTTTTTGCTTATTAAACTTATTGCATTTTCAAATCTGGTTAACAGGATGCAAATATGATGCAAAATTGCATCGCTTTCTTCCTCTACCGTTTATTGATTTCCAAAAAAATGAAAACATTTGCCGGCCGGCATGTACTTCCACGCAGAATCGATTTTCATAGAAAAGATGACAACATAGAATCTTGACGTCACGTGGGATCTTTGTTTATCGACAAAGTGGCGTGAGTTGCGCGCGCACGACACTGTGCCCCCGCAGTGACGTCACAGAATGTGGCAGAACGTAAACACCGATTCAAAATATGCTTCACCACGAAGTACAGAAAAACACGTTGTGGTTTTTTGTTGATCCAAATGTTATTGCATTTCATTTTATTATTTTTTATCTCGTTGTTTTGAAAAGCGGTTCAATTTGACAGGTTGTGATAAAGTCAACAGAGCAGGAGCTCAAATAAATCTATTTTATTTTCATTATTTTTTTTTTTTTTAATAAATGTTATCTACTTTTCTAGAGATTTCCTTTTGGTTCTGCTAGTGTAAAAAAAAAGAAAATCGTAACTCAGATGTTAATGGGACAAGATAAAAAATTAGATTTGGAACAGTTGAAATATTTCTGTGTTTTCAATATTCCTCACATAGATTCTCCTGGAATCAATTGCAGCTCAAATGAAAACAACTCAAATTAAAACAAATAAAAAAAATTTAGAATTTTAAAATTAGTTCAAACATAATGGAGAGTAACCAAAGTGAAAAATAACAGTTGTAGTGAAAAATAATTTACTTAGTAGCAAATAATTTTGTTTTATTTTATTATCGTCACTGAACAGCCGACCCAACTTTGGGTTTACTACTACTTATGTTCAACTCCGTAGTCTTGTAATTTTGAACCCAACCCAGAAGTCAAGGGTACTTCTGGATCAAGTAAGTATTGGGAGAAATTTGCCTCCGTGGAGTTTGCTTCCGTGGAGGACTTTTTGATGGAACTAACCCGCATTTGCATTACATGGAGAGAAAAACCACGAAAACTTTTTAGACTGACGACAAGGGGACTCTAGCCCATGACTCAATCACTGAGGATATTTTCTACGTCAGCACTGTGGTCGGTTCGAGCCGGGTGTTTATCGAACAGCCATGGCTGGGATTCGAACATATCTATGTTTAAGAATAGCGATATTTTATAATTTAACTAATTTATATTATTTTTACGTTAGTCAATAATTTCCCTAACTAAATAAAATTTAAGAACACTCTCAGAATAATATATATTCAATAATTATCGTTATGCATAATATTCGCTAAACTACCTTTACGATAACTGTGGCATGGATAATTATTGTTATTGCGATAATAATCGTAATATGGCAGTTATCGTAAAGCATCGCATCACGATATTGTTGAATTTGATATTCCAAAGCATATTATCGGTACCCAGTGATATGCGTAAACCACACGAAGGAAAAAATTCCAGTAAAATTACCGTATTATATTGTAATGACATTTCTTATAAATAAAAACTATATTTCTGGTGTTAAAAACTAAAATATAAGGTATTTAAATCATTCATTTGGTAATTATTCCGTTCATATGGTAACGGTTAACCGGAAATTCTGGTTTTCTAAATTATAGTTCGTATTACCCCACATTTAGTAAAAAAAAACTGAAAAGTAAATTTAACGGAGTAAACGGTTTTTATGCCCTGCTGTAAACTATGAAAAAAATCAATACATTTTACCACATTTACCGAATTCTATCACATATAAAACATTATTTTTTCGTTAATTTTACCAAAATCATTACCAAAACGCTTCGGTAAAAATTACCGAGCTTTTTGGTGTTCTCATAGAGCCAGAAACACGGTACATTTTACCAAATTCCGGTAGTTATGAACATTCTTTTCTTTCTCAGTAATGTAGCGTTGTTCACACATGTTGGCCAATCTGGTCTAATAATCCCTATGACCAACAAATAACCCTATGACCAATGTATAAAAATCCCTATGACGAACAATTTTTTATAACTAAGGATAAAAAAAAAAAAAAACTAATATTCTCTCTCTTTCTCTTTTTTAGTTGAATGAAGAGGGAATTAAGAAAGTTATTCCGTTAG